GCGGAGAGTTCTTATAAATATAAGACCACATTGAATATAGCTTCTCGATTCAATTAAAATGAATACTAAGAAAGAAGAGATTGAAATGTAATAGCCCTAATCGGTTTTTTATTACAAAGATGAATAATTTTTTAATCGATTGCATATTAAAAATAATGAGAACATAATAAATAATTGAGAAGTTCTATGCTCACTTCGTGTTATATGGCTGGGCGATGGAGGTAATATTGGTAAAGAAGAGAAAGCTAATTCGGGATGAATATGGAATCCATAGATGCAGTTGGAAAGCAAGCTCTGGATAAACTTTTAATCGCACTGTATTTAACCTAGATGGTGCCCCGCTGCGGGTGAATTGCCTCCGATCCTCAACCAAGACCATTATTATCGTTAATGGATAATAATGCAGGGAGGAATGGAGGAGACTGATAGAGAGCCTGGTTCCGATCACGATGAATGCAGAAGGAGAAATGACGGGGAGAAAAGCTGTTACGGGTGAATGGAGTGAACAGATTGGGGAAGGAGATGAAGAAGGGCGGAGATGTTTTCAATCGAACGGCTGGGATGTTTCTGGTGTTAGGCGGGAAAAAATTGTTTTGCTTTTATGTATTAGATTAGATTCTGGTGTTAGGCGGGAAAAAATTGTTTTGCTTTTATGTATTAGATTAGATTAGATTCTGGTGTTAGGCGGGAAAAAATTGTTTTGCTTTTATGTATTAGATGTATTAGATTAGATTAGATTATATAGATATAGATGTTCAAATGCGTGAAAAGTAATTATGAACTCATGATCGAGTACGAACCAAGTTTGTAACGTGTCTAGCTAGACTTTATCTTACTACTTAATTTTTTAAAATTCGTTTTACATTATTCTCAAAAAAAAAAAATTCGTTTTACATACAACACTTTATTTGAGAGTATCTAAAATGACCATAGAAACAACACTTCCGATTTTTTAGAAAGCTATCCTTTTATTATGATATCAAAGGTTTAGAAATTAGAATGAGGATTGGAGCGATGAAAACCCTAGCGGCGGAGCATAGGCCGGCCGCCGATCCTAGATCGATCAATTGATCGCGAACCAGATTACGGGTTCTATGTTGTTAGGTTCTTTCTTCTTTATGCTTGGCTTTGTTTGGCTTCTAGTCTTGTTGGATTACGGGTTGTTTGCCCGTCGTTTGGTCCGACATTTCCTTGGTTGAGATTCTTCTTTACGTTCGTATTGAACGGGTTTAGGTTCTGAATTTTTTCTAATGCACTATTTCTGTTTTGACCGCATGGATTCATTGTCAATTGCAGTATCTTTCATTTGGTTTTCTTTATACGGGTCTTTGGTATACTTTGTTGTTTGTGTTTGTGGATTTTGGATTGAGTTGCTATGGATATGATTACAAAGAATGTTAGCATGATATCAATTGTTGCGGAGGAGAATAGGGGGTTGGTGCTCACAACAGATCCGGTTGAGAATGCTGACGTGACTAAAGAGGGTTTGGATCTAGCGGTTGTGGCTAGAGTGGTATCGGACATACCTATTCGGGTTGTTTCTTTCTGTCAATCAATGGCTATGGTTTGGCGATCAGACAAGGGAGTTTCAATTGATGAGATTGGGGATTCTAGATTCCTCTTACAGTTTTATCATGAAGGAGATCCGAGTAAAGTTGTTGAGCAAAATCTTGTGGTCATCAAACGTGTGGGACATACCGATAGACCTCTTGAGATTCCATTGGATCATGTGGACTTTTGGGTTCAGGTTCACAATTTACCGTTATGCTACATGACAGCAAGGACAGCGCGTGCCGCGTAGAATAGCTAATGGCATAGGATCGCTTGTGCAAGTGGACGAGACCTCTCTTGGCGGAAAGCAAAGGTTGGTACTGTGCATCAGAGTCACTATTAATATTACTATGGCCTTGATCAGGCGCATTCACGTCAGACAGGAGGGAGATAGTTGGATTTGGGCAAACTTTCGCTATGAGAGACTCACAATTTTTTATTTTCTGTACGGGATTCTTGATCATGTTGATCACTTCTATCCCTCTAATTTGCATAGCGGTGCATGGATCGGGGAAAATCCTTATAGGTCATGGTTAGGGGCTGATACGAGGCGAGGTTGATCACATTCGGGCAACAAGTGGCCTATTTCTAGCAATAATAAGCCAGGAGACATGAGGGATGAGGGAGTGGACATTAGCAAAACGACAAGCGAACATGAGAGCTATTTGGTGGAAGGACTCCTATCAAAGGGCAAGGAGATTGTTACAACTCAGGAAGCACAAAAAAAAAACGTATGGCCACTAAGAAGGATAGTGAGGAGGGAGCTCACGCAAACATGGAGGTGGATGAAGCAACTCCAAAAAACTTGGGAGTGGCGATGATGTCTGGGCAACAACACCAGTTGTTAGGGCTTAATTCACATGCATATCATTACGTATGAGGAAATATAAATACAACAATGTACATGGGTCGTAAACTATAGCCCTACAACTCTCTAGGCTAATTACAAAAGTGGGCTAACTATATAATCTATACAAAATAATATTCCCAGTACCAGTAGCAGAAGATTTGGAGGGAAACACGAGGAACCTTTAGCGGAGGCTGGTCAAACCGTTGTTTCCTTGCCAGTGGTTGGAAAAACTAGATTATGTTCTTCTTTTGATTTGTCGTCGTCTCAGAACTCTTTTATGTTTTTTGTGTTTCCTTTTAGTAGCAGGTGCAACATTGCTATGAATGGAGTCTACCATATCGCGGGGTTAGCGAGATGAACCGCTAGTAAGCGTGATTCCAACTCCAAGTCTTACTCCAGTGTAGCCATTGTTATGGCGAACTTGTATCTGATCCTCAGTTTTGATATCAATGAAGTTATCTTTTGTCAAAAAAAAAAGATATTCTTTTAGCAATGCTGTCATTTGTAAATTCAAATTCCTTGATTAATTGAATAAGTAGTAAAAATGTCTTATAGTTGATATAGATCGAGTTTAGCCCAAAGCTATTTTGGTCACACTCATGTTCTTTTAAAAAATGACTTAGACTAAAAATAATAATATCATTATTCGTGTCAAATAGTAATATGTTACCATTATGCATTGCATGAAACAATACATACATCAATCAGTGTAACTTTACATTCGTAATAAACAATTCGACTAACATCTAAAAGAGTAGATCTTAATGAAAGCTTTAAATTGTTCAACCTGATTAGTATCGTTTTTTGTTTCATAGCTTAGGAGCTTGTACGAAAGAGTGTTTGCAACTTCTTCGATCTACTTAATGAAAGGTGATTTCTAAGAAAAGTGATTAATAGTTTGGTACTGTCTAAGAAAAAGGTGATTTCTGAAAGTAAAAAATTGTGTGTTTAGCAAAAAAGAATTACTTTTAATGTCACAAAAAAAGGGTAAAACCCCCGATTTAAAGCACTTATTCACCTGCTTCAAAAGTTGTTTGAACTCAATGTTTTTAACTTTTAAGCAAAGTCTGATAATTTACAAACTTTTCATTCATTACTTTTTGTCACTAATCTTAATCCATATATATACATCTCTTGTTTAAGGTCACCGTGAAAAAAGACAACTCAACACCCATTTGATAAATTTTAAGACCCTCACAAAGGCTGCTATAAGCATTATCATTGATGTCATCCTCTCAAGATGAGCAAACCTGTCGATAATGTGTACATTTTTTGTTTGTAACCCTTAGCCAGGGTAATCTGGCCTTATAAATGGTTTCATCTCCTTTATTTAATTAGGTTATTCTTGAAAATATATTTCCATTTAATAGTGGAACACATTGGAGGAAAATACTTGAGCTCCTATATCCCATTTTGAACAATTGAATCCATCTCACTATTTGTAGTATCTTTATATTGTATTGCTTCAAATGTAGCTATTGTTGCATCTCTAAAGGAAATGTGGTCACATTAATTGTAGGTAATGAGACCACTTACAAACTCCTTGGTGATCGTAACCCGTTTCCTTTTCTAGATTCATCTAGTTCAAAATCAATGTGACGAGACCGATTTTACAGCGACAATTTTTCGTATTTTTCTCTTGTTTAGGAATTTTACTATAGGAAAGCAAAACAAAATACTCAAACCGGAGGCCCGGCCCGGACCCGGTGGCTACCCGGGCCGGTCCCAGGTCCACCAATCCTGAACCGCCGGCCCGCCCGGGCCTAGGCCCGACCCAGACCCGGCCCGGCCCGAGTCCACGTTAGTTGTTAGTTGTTCACGTTACCAAATGGCTTGCTTTCTTTTACATAAGCCTATCCTTAAGTTTCTTGTTACACATCAAAATTGGAAAAAGTATAATCAATAATTTTCTATTGAGGCTATGCTAGATGTCGTAGAATCACAGCATATTTTCGTGACTCAACATGCATGTGATGCGGTGGCGGCCCTAGAGGCGTAAACAGAGGTCGTCCAATTTTATGTGTCATATTTTGGTTTAACACAATTATTAAAAAAATAATTGAAGAAGTAAAAGTTATGAATGAGATTTGAGTATAATAAAGTAAAATGTTCTAGCCCATACATTTCTTTCCAAAAAAGGTGAGTCTTACTTTTGAACAACCGAAACAGAAAAGTAAGACATATAAAATGAGATGAAAGATGTAACATTTGCAATATGAGGTGTGAGATTCTAAGCTAGTTTCCCACATTTAGGTTGATAATTGAACTGTTACATTCAGAATTTTGGACAGATCTAAGTATCTAACACACTGGAGCAAACAGATTATTTTCTATTTGAACACACTATCAGGATCTAAAGTTGCTACTATAGATGAAATTCCATGACTTGGGAAATTTACATGAAAAAATTCAAGCTCTAGTATCCACACACTGAATGGATCGCTTACACAGAACATGCGAGAGTTTTCTCTTTTCCTCATTCCCCCTCTCTCAATACATTTTGATCATATAGATCTACTATAATGAATTTCATGATTGCCTTAAGTTATATCATGAGAGTAGGAAAGATGGAGTTAAATAAGTTATACTCTGTATGAATTATAACGGTAATGTGTATGATCAATATTAATGAAAGTAACAAGAACAGGGAAAAACAAAAGGAAATAAAAAAGGAAAAGAAAACAACAAGGGAAAGAAACACATAAATGTTTTACAATGTTCATATGGCTAACTACTTGGGAAAGGATAATATATGATCATATGGCTATAATTCTATTTCGGATACTATATACTTATAATTAGGAACTTTGTGTTTGAATTGAAAATTGGCCTCCAACTGTTATGTGCCAATCCTTTGGAAAGCACTTAAGTCATCCATTCAGCAATAGATGTACAGTACACCGAATTCAAAAGCCATTTACAGAACACTAAAGTAGTTGTTTGACATGATCAATCCATCAAAAAAGCCAAAAAGGCTGATAGGCGGTTTATCAAACAGGCGTATTCTCATCGGGCAAAATCAGAAATAGAGAACATGCCATATCAGTATAAACATTATCACAGGAATGACTTTCTTATGGATATATATGGTGGTTTTGTCAGTTCCATTTTATGTTTCTCATACTATCACCTCTTAGCTCTCTGTTCTTGGCTTCTGGCTGGGAGGCATGTCTCCGAACAACCTGGAACCAAATTGGTTAACTAGTTAAAAATTGACAGCATTATTTAAAAAAAGAAAACTTGACAAGAACTTACAAAAGAGTCCATAAATCGGAAAGTTTGAATTCATATGCTGACAGAATTCTTCAAGGGAATCATTGAAATATTTGCACACTAGAAAGTTTCAACACAGGTTGAAGTGCTTCAAACTAAAGACAGTTAACTTACACGGAAAATACTCTGTTTCTCTTTTCACTGCAAATATATGTGTCCAACTCTTCAATACTCAAGTCTTCGAAACTAGGGTCAATATCAAACTTTAGCAATTTACAATTATCCAAAGACGAGGACAACGGCCCGATAGAACCTGGCATGACTTCAAGATGTCCTTTAAGTTTGTTCATCAAAATAAAACCTGTACAGGAAAAGAAAAATAATAAAAATGTATAAAGGATACAAGAGAACATAAATTTCATGATGAAATAAAATAAAATAAAAAACTTAGAGCTGGTAAGGTATCATTAATTTGAAATGACTGCAGTAATTATATAAGATCAACTTATAGAAATATGGCTGAAATGGATGAATCATCTAAGGGTCCACTAAAATAAAATAATAATGAATTTAACGTGCCACTGCTTTCAATTCTATCACCAATTAGTTTCTCCATTTAAAGGTCGATTCAGCCAGCACAGTTAATTGAGTGTGTGATAAAAGTCAGTCAAATATCAGGAAAACTCAAGCTACCAAAGGGGCATTTCATATGCTGTAATTGTATATCGATCCAAGGAATAACTTATACACCCTTCCACAAAAACTAGATGATAGAGATAAGTTCTGCATAATTTTAGTAGACAACTTCATATTAATGAAAATTAATAAAATCATTATCAATAATGTCACTTCAAGCAAAGGCGAAATAAGACATACTGAGAGCGCGGAGATACTTTAAATCAAAATTTTTGCCTATAGCTTGGGAACCGATTTTTTTTGCTCCTCTGAGAATCATCACTTTCAAACTAATTAGGAAATCCTAGCATTTAAAAGAAAAGACCATATCACCAAGCTTTCCAAACAATAATGCATACACACACTCCAAGTGAACGATAGAGATTGAAGATTTGCAAAGACTTACAAGTTCAGACTCGTTTAGTGAGCAAAGCCATCTGATATCATCAATTCGACTTTTACTACTCCCTAAATTCAAATTTTCACTATCCATTCCTCTTTGTCCTTGTAAAAGACTCTTTTTTGCCATTCAGAAATTTATGCTGCATTTCACACAACACAAATTAGACTTCAGTCAAAATTAAATGTTTATAAAGCACTGATAGCATCATATAAAATTTATTAAATTAAACAAGCAAATTGTTGATGAGCAAAAATGTGGGGCAAGAATAGATATAGATCATATAAGGATCACTCTAACATAGTCACACTACAATATAACACTGGTGTTAAGTATCACTCTGACAAAACCAAACTGAAATAAAAAAAATTTGGAAAAAAAGAAGATATGAATTCCTTCTGCAGTTTCACTGAAGAATGATATATACATATATCACATAGCTTAAGAATGCCAATCAAGAAACTGTTATGGGGAAGTGTAAATTTTTTGATTTCACAAATCTTGAATCAGTAACGAAAAAGAATACAGAAAGAGCGATTCACAAACACACTCTCCTACACATCCATGGGTTGAGGAATGGTTTCATAGGTCCCCAAGTCAATTCATTCTGTTTAATTCAATGTTAAACACTACCTAAGCAAAAAACATCCAAGCAACTAATTTGTAGTAAACAACCTAATCAATATACTTTATGTGGTTGCTAAAGTGTGCAAAGTTCTACACAAAGAAGATAATATAAGAAACGAGGGGTGTTTGTCGGGTTAGGGTGATAGGTTTCGAACGGTGCTGGTCGGATGCTTTTGGCCGTTTTTGGGAAGAGAGAGCCAATAACCAAATGGAATTCAATCAGTCAGTTTTCGGGTTGCTCAACTCCGGTGACAACAGTAAGAGAAAAACAGCCAAAATTTACCCTTTTTTGAAGAAATTTAATGCCTTTAGTGGATTTTTGCACCTGTTTTTCACACACAAAATAAAAATATGTACTTGCACCAGAAAAACAACAGTACTTGGTGAATTGAAAAGATTTAAAAGTTTTAAATGTATTAGTTTCCATGGAAGTGTAAAATTGTTAACAAGAAAGACCAGTTCACTATACCTTTCCAGCCAAGCCCTTTGGAGGTTAACATTTTAAAAATTGGCAGTCCTCTCTCAATAGTTTCTGGTCTATACTTATCTTGCTAGGTAGTTTGTTATAATTAGAAAAAGAGAGTTCCTTGTTCCAGTTCTATTTATATGAAAAATTCCTAGATGACATTTAGGAATTAGGATTTACCTCGAATCCTTATATCTCTATTGCTTGAAGTCACACACTCGCACGCATTCAGCCAGAGACGTGCAGAAGTCGGCAAGTCGCAGAAAGCAAGAGAATGAGACTATTGAGAGAACTAGAGTCAAGCGAATTGGCGAACCGCAAAATGCAGTCGTCGGACGGCGGTCTCGCGCTCACAGGTGGCGCCGCCGCGTCGGTGCCCCGGTTTCGGCAGTCGGTCGGCTCACCCTTACGGAGTCACTGCGTGGGCCATGGGATTTGGGGATTGGAGCCTTTCAAGAGCCGTGGAAGAAGACCCACTCCTAGTTTTCTAATCTGGTTGCACGTATTTCTTTTGATTCTTCAATGGATCGGATGACTGCAATATTATTTATGTACTACTCATTTCGAGCCCGAAAGCCCGTTTGATACTCTGTTTTTCACAATACCACATTAATGTGCAAACATTTTCACAAAACACGTAACTTTAGATTTTATGTGTTGAATTGTGTACGAATAAGAAAAAGTAAGATTAAAGTTATTTTTCTAACTGTATTCACTGAAGTTATTATATAGAAGAATAATTATTTTAGTTGTTTTATGTAATGTATTCTCTTTATTGTATTAATATAATACGTATATATTAATAGATCAGCAGAATCGGTAAATCAACCCACTTAAGCTAGAATTTCAAAAATTATAGCAGAATTAGCCAATATATCTGATTTGGGTATTACCAAACCGACTCTTAGAGAATTTATTTCTTTGTTTTGACACAATTATTAATAAAGTGATTGAAAAAAGTAGAAGTTGTGGTTAATATTTTCATATAATAAAATGAAATGTGGTAGATCACATATTTAGTTTTAAAAAAGATAATGTGACAATTATTTTGGGATAATGCAGAAAAAGAAAATATGATATGTAAAATAGGACGGAGGAATTAATTTATGTTCAACAATGCTTGATGTATCCACTCTTATACCTACCATGTTTGTGAAGTGTTGTTTTTTGTCTGTGTACCAAGTTCACAGACAATATTTTGTTTGTGCAAAATATTGTCTGTGAACCGGGGTTCACATATAAAAAATAAAACTTCAAAAACATGAGTGAGTACAAAAGTGAGTATAAGAGTGAGTACAAATATCGTTTTTTATTTATGTTATATGTGACTATTAACCTGTGTTAATATGTATTAAAGTCGTCACAAAACTTTTAACTAGCTAGTTTCTACCCTATTTTTTTTTTATTATTGCAGAAGATGTATAATTATAAAATCCTTGTAAATCTCTCTCTATCAAATACTCACTCTGTCCCATTTAAATTTTCAGACTTTTCTTTTTTGGGACGTCTCATTACATTAAATGTTTTAATTACTCTTCACTACCCACTCACTTTTTACATATAAGTGGATAACATTAATTCTCCCCAAAAGTCAAAGGTCATGCAAGACATTTGTTTTCCTATTAATTGAGCTCCTAGAAATACCATGTCAAAAGCAAACGTCAAGTTAGAAATGTAGTGAAAATAGATATAGAGATAATTTCTCCAAAGAGCATATAGATTGTAGTGAAAATGTAAATGACAAACAAATTGTGCTGGAGCGACGATTCCATGCAGTTAGAAATGTTTTTGATATGATCACTAAACTTTATTTGAAATGCGGATGATTTTTACTAGGTATGAATCATGTTGGGCTAAAATCGGAAGATGTTTAAAATATGACAAAACTTCTAATATGTGGGATTAACTTAATAGATGGAAAACTTTGATTCTTGAAAAAAAAAAATACGTGAAAAAAAATTCAATTCGTGAAAGACCGATAAACCTTTTGGCTTTTTGTATTGTAATATGATAAAAGTTAGATATATAAAATCATACTCCCTCCGTATCTCTTTATCTGTCTCGTTTGTTTTTTCACGTAGTTTAAGATAATTACTGTAGACTTCATAAAAAGTAAGGATTTTTTGGTATTCTATCTGCTTTTTGAGTGAGTTTCTTTCCAAAAAAAGAAATGAAATAATTTATTTGATATGTCTCATAAGGGAAACTGGGACAACTAAAACAACTAAATATATATAGTACTTCATTTTTTAACACAGTAGTATTTTGATACAATGGTCTTAATGAGTTCAAAACTAGACCTATATATATATATATATATATATATATATATATATATATATATATATATATATATATATATATATATATATATATATATATATATATATATATATATATATATATATATATATATATATATATATATATATATATATATATATATCCTTGAAACCGAAATTGAAAAATCTATTTCTTGATAAAAATAATTATCTCAGGGTGGAGTGGATTTTTTTTAGAAGGGTTATGGAGAAGATGTGGTTTAATCCGAAGTGGATTAACATTATTATGGAGTGTATCTCTACGGTGTCTTACTCCGTGCCTTTTGACAGTTCTGTTATCGGACCTATAATACCTCATCGAGGTTTGCGGCAAGGAGATCCGCTATCTCCCTATTTATTCATCATTATTACGGAATGTTTGAGTGCATTAATTCGTAAGCAAGAACGGCTGGGGCGGCTAGGTGGTGTAGTTGTGGCCAGTAAGGCCCCCAAAATTTCTCACTTTTTATTTGTAGATGACAGCTATTTATTTTTTAGAGCTCGAAGGGAAGAATGTCAAGTAGTGAGAGATATTTTGGAACAATACGAGGCCCACTCAGGATAGGTAATAAATTTTAATAAATAAAATGTTTCGTTTAGTGCCAATGTGGAGGAAGTTTGTCGGGATGACTTTAGTCGTATTTTGGAAGTTCATAATGAGGAGGTTTTGGGTAACTATTTGGGGTTGCCGGCTCTGGTGGGGAGGAAAAAGAAGGAGATCCTAATGTATCTGAAAGAAAGAATCATCAAACGGCTCCAGGGATGGAATAACAGATTTCTTTCTAGAGCGGGCAGGGAGATCCTTTTAAAGACTGTCATTCAGGCAATGCCAATTTATGCTATGAATGTTTTTCTACTACCAGATGAGTTAATAAACGAGATTGAGAGATTAATGAATGGCTTTTGGTGGAAAGGTAATGATTTTACTCGCAGAGGTATTCAGTGGAAGAGTCGGAATTCTTTATGTATGCCCAAAGCGGTAGGAGGGTTGGGGTTCAAACGTCTCAAGGAATTCAACATTGCTATGTTAGGAAAACAAGGGTGGAAACCTCTCACTGATCCGCATTCCCTGGCAGGGAGAGTTTTGAAGGAAAAGTATTTCCCTCAATGTTCTTTTGCGGAAGCAAAGATTGGCAGCAATCCGTCTTTTGTTTGGCAGAGTATATTGACGAGCCAAGAAGTGGTGGTAGCTGGGACTAGGCGAAGTGTTGGGAATGGCAGGGATATTTCCGTCTGGAAGGATGCATGGTTACCTGGTAAGGGGTCGGGAAGGGTAAACTCAAGCCGGCCAGTAGGCATTTCAGATATGAATGTGGCTGCTCTTTTAAATGAAGACGGCAAGTCCTGGAATATAGATCGAATTAATTCCATATTTTCTGAGGAGGAAGCTCATACTATTATTATCATTCCATTGAGCTTGAGGCAAATTAAAGATGGATTTAGGTGGAATGATGATCCACAAGGGAGATACTCGGTTCGAAGTAGTTATAGAAGACTGGTAGGCGAATTACTACCTCTAAACAGGCCTGCTTGGGTGGATGTATGGAAGTGTGGGCTGCCCCCTAAAGTAAAAATTTTTCTATGGCAGCTTGCTTCTAAAGTGTTAACAACGGCAGAGACCTTGAGGAAAAAACGAGTTCAGATTGAGGGAGGTTGCAGGTTTTGTATGGGAGAGGAGGAATCCATTGATCACATTTTTCAAGGTGCTCAACTTTGACAAGTATTTGGCAGAATGTGGGCTGGTGCAGCTTGGTGGCAGGGAGCTCAATAGCAGATAGTTTGCAGCGTGCTATTATCTCACTAGCGCATGACGATCTTTGTTTTTTTATTATGTTGCTTTGGAGTATTTGGAAAATGCGTAATGATATTGTGTGGAAGAGATGTAGCTTCTCAGTTGAAGGATTAGGCGGACTGCTACAGCAACTTTGGCAAGCTGGAAATCTGCCCAGTCGACTACAAACAAAGGGCTTATTCCGCAGATGGGTAAAACAGTTGAACATTGGAAGAAACCACAACAATCTTGGTTGAAATTAAATGTAGACGCTGCCAACAACGCTCAAAAAAAAAAGTTGGGCCTGGGGATGGGTTCTTAAAGATCACAATGGACAGTTTGTTCAAGCAAGAGGCCGAAAAGTGAAAGCGGGGTGGTCACCGATCGAAGCAGAAAGTTTGGGGGTCTGAGAAGCAATTTTGTGGGTTAAGGAGAACAGGTGGCAAAATGTGGTTATCGAAAGAGATGCTGCCCTTGTCCAGTCCGGGATTAAAGGAGAGAAGAATGATTCTCAAGTATTGGTCGTTTTTGAAGACATTAAGGCCCTTTTGTGTGAAAATGAGAATATACTCATCAATTGGTGCAGAAGATCAGCGAATCAAGCGGCTCATACTATGGCAAAAGCGGTTGCTTCTATGTCTGGTCTGGTAGTTAATTTTGATTATCCGCCCGATTGCATTGTAAGCCAGTTGGCGAACGACTTGTTGAATCAATTATCGGCTTTCATCCAATAAAAAGATAAAAATAATTATCTAAATTGACTAGACATAATAAACCAGCCCAGTAGCGGAGCCCGGGCACTGGGGGCCAGACTGGCCGGGTCAGTGTATAGAATATTTTTGAAAAACAGTTTACACAGAACTTTATTAGAGATTAATCTGTATGCTTCTCATTCATTCATAGCGTTAATATACATGGTGTACAAGCTGAATCTAAGGCTAGGAAACTAGGAAAGTAAATACCAATTTACATCACAATCTATTCTATCCTTAATTAGAATATTATGATTACAAAAATATTTACAAAGATATTATTGTCTAACACACCCCCGCAGTCTTAGCGGGAGGTAGGCGAACGCTCAGACTGTCCCGAAAATCATCAAATAGAACGCGCGGAAGACCTTTGGTGAAGATATCTGCAATTTGGTATCGAGACGGGACATGCAGGACGCGTACTTCGCCACGCGCAACTTTTTCTCAGACGAAATGAATATCCATTTCTATATGTTTGGTGCGCTGGTGTTGAACGGGATTACTTGAAAGATATATTGCACTCACATTATCGCAATAGACTAGTGTAGCGCGTTGGAGAGGACAATGAAGTTCAAGTAGCAAGTTGCGGATCCAGCAAGTCTCGGAAACAACGTTGGCCACACCCCTATATTCAGCTTCAGCACTAGATTTAGATAGAGTCGGTTGACGTTTGGAAGACCAAGAAATGA